CGGGTTCCCCGGCTTCGATGAGAGGCCTTGCCCCGCGCGCGGGGCTGGCAAGGGAGGGCTGGGTATAGAGAAGAAATTAGCGTGTAAAGGCGTTGATTTCTATGCAATTGTGGTTTTATTATCATCGTTCTAAATGCTTTATTTGAAAATATTGCTGAGATAGAAAAAGTTTGATCCTGTGCTTGGATGCAGGTACCAGTCTGTTGCAGGCGCTGCAGCTGTTGGAAGGTGGCTCCAAATCACACTTCTGTTTAGGTACTGGCATGTGGATTTCTCCTGCCAGTTTCTGTCATTTATAAAGCTGTAATCTGTGGAAAAACTGTGATTGCTTAGCATAAACTTTCACCTTAGGAAAGGATGTTTTTTGCCCCCACCTCCTTTCTCTAAGCTATTTTGTTCTACTGTTTTCTAGTTCTTTATATGATGCGTAGTTGCATAATGGAAGTCAAAGGTTTATCTACAGTGTCACTTGAATGACACTGTAAAACTGTGTGGTGTAAAAGCATATAACCACACAGATATTTTAGAATCAAAAAGAACTTGGGATTGGTGGAAAAAAACCCAACAAATTTCACTTGTTTTCTTTGCAGGAAATTGCTATATACAAATCTACCTCGGCTTTTTGACAAGCAGACATGGTAAGAACAAGAGCACTTTTTATGTATTTTTGTTCTTTCTGAAATGGAAGTCTCTTGCAAAGTGAATCTCTGCATCTCAAAGGATTACACATTTTACTCTGGTGCTGTGAAGAGTTTCTAATGAAAAGCTTAGGTTTTCATTTCAGGCTTCTAACAAGATATTGTGAAAAATAAAATAGATCAGTTTACTATTTCAGCAGTCTAAAATAATTAGACTTTCAGTTTTAAGATCCTAAATTTTAATCCTACTGTGGCTAATACTTACTCATCTAGTTTGGTTTCTTTTACCACAGAAGCATTGTTGAAGTTGCAAGCACATAGCCCTGCTTGAGTGTATGTAACCTTTTATATTTGCAGGCTTTTAAAAGTTTCGCAAATCACAAAGTGGTGAGAAGACTGTACATCTTAAACTGTATATGCACCTTTTGTAGCATCTTCACGGACATTGCAGGCAATTATCTTTTCATTACTTGTATGCTTGTGGAGCAGTATGCCACTATGAACATGATGCTGATTTTTATTAGATTTTCTGTACCCTCATCCCCTGTATAGCCCCACAGTAATTATTTTTGCGTAGTTTAGCATTTTCTGTGGGAGCACTGTGATATACTGGGCCTATAGATATATATTTGCTTTGGTGGCTGGGTAACTGCTATTTTAAATTTTATGAAGGTTATGCATAAATTCTTCAGAAAAGTGTGTAATTTTGTAGATTTGCTTGTTTGCGAAGGCAGATTATATATGGTGCCATTCAGAACTAGGCTGCAGGACTTTTGTTCCTCTGGCTGTAAACCAGTGGTGTGTGTGCACCACACTGATCTCCTGAAATCGATATAACTTTGATTCTTCAACTTTGCAATTAAGTGACTGAGTAGGTCCAGTTTGCAAATGAATACTGTATCTCTGGAGTGTAACAGCATGAAACAGAGCTGCTGTGTTACCAAGGCGAACTTGATTTGTCCTGAAACTAAATGAAACCAAGTGCTTTCTGGCGATTTCACTGGAAATATGGATGCCAAATATTTTAACTGTGGTTATATGTAGTGGGAACTTGCTTATGTTCTTGGTGGGATGGGGACATAAAACTGAGCATGTTAGTATTTCATTGCTGATTTAATTATTATTTTCTGCCTCTTGCTCAGGCTGTCACACTGCATACTGATGTAGGAGATATTAAAATTGAACTATTCTGTGAGCGTACACCGAAGACTTGTGAAGTAAGTCATGTAACAGGAGCAGGATTGCCTAGTGTTGAAACAAAGCAGTAGAAATAGCGAAGGCTGTAAGAGGAGGTGAAGTGGCTTTTGCAGTTCATCTTTTCACGTAATGGAATACTAACGTTTTAAGTTGGTACAGTGCCTCTTCCACTCGTGGAACTTCTTGTGTGGTGTACACTTGTGCGTTTCGTCATACTGCGTAGAGCTTTGCTGCCTGTTTCTCACCAGATAAGGTTTAGCTAATGGCTGCTTCTCTCCACATTCCAGCATCTCCAAGTATCCTTTGCCCTTGAGGGGAGATAAGGCACATGGCCTGGGATTGCTGAATTTCCCTGGGTTTGCTCACACTCGCACAGATTTTATTTTAATTTAAAAGAGTGAGAATCACTCTCAGTTTGTCAGAGGCCCCAGGTTTTCCTTTCTGCAGTAAACTTAAGCTTAATTTGAAATAATTTACTTTTAAACTAACAAAGCTGAGGCATGAAGTTATTGATGACAAAATTACATTTACAAAATAAAATTCTTGAATGGAAGTGATACTTCTGAGCATGTCTCAGGCTTCTTGTTTGTTCCGCAAGTCAGACAACCTTGTGCTGTAAGTTTTATTTAAAATCCTTTGTATCTGTGACAGTGTCAAAGGAGCATATTAACTATAATTTGTTCATGACTATTCTGTGGCAATACTCTGTAGAATTCACAAGGTCATAGTGCAGAGCAGAGGCAAAAGGGTTAGTTTTGCCCATGCTGTCATTTTAGTAAGAGGATGCTATTTCTGAATTGCTTGTTAATATGGTTTGTTTCATTTCCTTAGAATTTCTTGGCTCTCTGTGCGAGTAACTACTACAATGGCTGCGTATTTCACCGGAATATAAAGGGCTTCATGGTTCAGACAGGAGATCCATTAGGTAAATTCTTCTGTCAGGGTCTCTACAGAAAAATGTACATGAAAATAAAATACAAATAAAATACCAATAAATACAAAGAAATTTTAAGCATGAGTATTAAAACCAAAGTGTAAATAAAGTAAAAATAAAATATAAGAATTATTGTATTGTTGGTAGAGGTTTTTATGATGATATTACTTTTCTGTGGTGAGCTTACAGAAGAGCAGCTGTTACCCTAGTTCTAAATAATCATGCAGTAGTAAAGCATTCTACAAACCAGTTTTTCCAGCTGTTTTCACTAAATATGGTGGTTCTGTTTACTTACCAGCTGTTGAACAAGTAGTAGTTGCTACTGCATTTTCTCTGGTTTCTGCCTCTAAAGCATTTGGGGAAAATGCTTTAGAAAAAACAGTGTCAGCTGTTTGGGAGAAAATCCGATTCAACTATGTGTCTGTTTGTACTCCCTGAATTTAATTTGAGGACATGTCAATGTTTTGTTTTGCTACTTAGCAGATATTCCTATTACAGTGTTATGTCTCTGTTCAATATCAAGACACAAGAACCCAATCTGTGCCTCAAATGAATTACAGGCTTTCTAGGGTCTTTGTTGTAAAATGGAACATAATTTCTGAATTTTTCAGTCTGAAAATACAGTAATCTACTATAGTGCTTCTTTGTCAGGCACTGGGAAAGGAGGTAACAGCATCTGGGGCAAGAAGTTTGAAGATGAATTCAGTGAATACCTAAAGGTATTTCTGTGTTCTCAAGGTGCAGTTATGTTTTCCTATGAATTTTCTTACCAGGTTAGAGAACGATCAGCATTGTTTTCTACTGTATTAAATACTTTTGTAATTATGAAGCAAAGTATAATCCAGCAATAAAGGGATAGAAAGCTTATTACTGAAATTGAACAGGCGTTTCTACATTTGGCAAGTTAGGTTTGAGGGTTTTCATCACTGAGAACAGAAGTTGAAAGAATTTGTAATGAAGTATTTTTCATACACTGAAGGCAAACAAGTAACTGCACTATATGAGCAGTTTTGAGGAGCTAATTATGGACGGTGATGGAATACATTAGCAACCAAGTTTTCGTCTTTATAATGGTGTTGAGGCAGAGTACTAAAAGTCACAGAGCCCTTTGTACAGGTTAAAGTCCTGCTTTCACAGATGCATATTCATGTTGAGGTTTTTCCTCTCTTTCAGCACAGTGTCCGTGGGGTAGTTTCAATGGCAAACAATGGTCCGAATACTAATGGGTCACAGTTCTTCATCACTTACGGCAAGCAACCGCACCTAGACATGAAGTACACTGTGTTTGGAAAGTAAGTGATCCAACTGCCTGCCTTCTTATCATAGTGTGTGAAGGATCTGAGTATTTCGGGGCACATGCAGTGCAAGTTTAGAAGCCTCTGGTTCTAAAACTCTTTAAAATATTGGATGTGTGTATGTAAATGTATGCTCTTGCACTGTCACCAGAATTAGTTGCTCCAAAATGCTGCTCCCTTTTTCTTAGTAGTAGGGAATTCAGTGGAAATAGGCATTAAAAATTACCTCAAGAGTGGAGCATCCTCACCCCACTTCTTCCCCCTATTGCCTTTTCATCCGTGCCTGACTGGATGTAGCCTGATTTTAAGCAAACTCCAGAACAACTGGATACACAGTTGTAGGGTTTACTGAGAAGCAAGGATCTGATTTGGGACTGGATTTTGGGATGGGTGTGGTATTGACATGGTCATGCTTTTGTTTAGCTGGAACTTCCTGTTGGTCAAATAAAACTCATGGAACTGACAGATTGTAAAATCAGATGAGGTTGTGTTTAAGATGCATCATTATTTTAAAACATTCTTATGTTAATAGACGCTACTGATAATATATCATCCTTAAAGCAAATTTTAATTTTTGAGTCTTTCAGATACTGCTTTTTTATCTCAGAATCATGGTGATGCCTTTTCTTTCGCTTGTTGTTAAAAAGTCTCTAGTGTAGAAGTGAATTTGTTGAGAAAAAGTTACCTTTACTAAATGGAGTTAAATATTCAAAGGAAACTATCAAAATGTGAAAATACTATTTTCTACCATTTGTATTGTTTATAGGCATCTAAGTGTAGGCAATGCTCTCCTTTCTGAGTTTGTTTAGAAGTGTGATTGAAAGTAGTTTTTTTAGACACGTTTGTTAGAAAAGAGTAGAGGCTCTGACAGATGAACTTTGCCAGATTTTCTGTGGGAGTTTAAGATACTTCTGCCCCAACTGCAGAATCAGCAGAACAGCGTACGTAGTCCCTACTGGCCCACAATCGAGCATCCTAGATTCCAAAGAATTGATGAGTGTGACTGAATTGAACTGTGAACAGCACAACATGTTTTCCGCTGAGTCCATTACTGAGGAATAAACTGTCAAGATTTACCAGAGCTAGTTATTTAAACAAAAAAGTAAGAGGTTTATTAGAACAATCTATCTTGCCACTTCTTCAGCCTGAACAGGAAATCTGAAAGCCTAAACATATTTGTGCCATTACATTTACACAGGTATTAATGATTCTGTCCAATCTTGTCTTTGAGTCAGAAGGGTAGAAATTATAATCTCACACTGGAAATTGATTTTCCAGCCATAGGATTTCAGTAATTCGCATTGAAGTTTGGTAGGGCCGGTATCTTGCTGCTACATAAACTTATACTATGATTGGTGAGTCCTGCCTGCCACGAAGTGCAGCCAGGGTCTCTATACAGCTAAGGTTGGTATAAAATATGATACTGTCAGGTCAGTGGGAATGATTTGTACTTCTTATCTGAATCTGTCATGGATGCTTAATATTTCCTTTCAAAATATGTTATATGTCATATATAATGCTCTGGCTCTCTTATTTGTATCATTTGCTTGCAAAGTCCTTGCTCTATGATACTTAAATGTAAAGTGCTTTGCGATATCTCAGTTGTGAAATTTAAATCGTTATTAGAAGGAGACTCCTACCACTTCTGCTTTTCTTCCAGAGTTATTGATGGCTTGGAGACCCTGGATGAGCTGGAGAAGCTGCCTGTGAATGAGAAAACTTACCGACCTCTTAATGATGTTCGCATTAAAGATATTACAATTCATGCCAACCCTTTTGCTCTGTAGCCACAGAGTGCCTCAACACATTCGTTAGAGACTGGTCAGATTGACTGCTGGATTATGGGGTTTAATGTGTCATTAAAAAGGGTTACTTCAGTTGGATCATAGCTTTGCTCATTGAATGCAGGATTTTCAGGAGTTGTGACATTGTTTGGGAGTTGTCACAAAGGAGTCTTGTGCTGTAGAAGTCAGTTTTTCCAGAGTATCTTCCAGGATTTTGATTTTAAACATTGGTTTTCATACTTGTAAAATAAGAAAATACTTTTTAAAAAATATTTTTTTTTGCAAATCTTTGTTTTCTGCATTACCTTTTTTAGTGATACTATGTTGAAAGTGTCGTCTGCTATGATTTCTTACTACCGGTTTTCTGAAACTTTCTTATGTAAATTCTAATCTTCCTTACTTTACTGGTTTTTAGAAAACTGAGTAAGATAATGCTTTTTTTTTCTCCTAGGTGAGAGCAGTGTCATAGATAGATGAAACCTTTCTCTCTTAGAGGATTAAAGACCCTATTTAGATGAGTGCTTGTGCTTGTATGGCTGTGTTGGAATGGTAACCTCTTCAGCCTCCCCAAAAGGTAGATCGGAAACAATCGCCTCTGCCTCTGGCACAACGCTTTCGGTATGAAAGAGTTAAGTGTTTGTGTCTTTACATAGCTGTTCATCAAAACTAGGTAACCATGGATTTACTGTAACTTGTTTTTCATCACTATATTGCAGAAACAATAGGGGGTAAAGGCAACAAAGAACAGTGACAAAAAGACTCTGGTCAGACTTCTAATCAAGAATATCCTCATACACCCAAAATAATAAAAGATACTGTGGCCAAGATGGTGTTGAACAAATAAGAGAAAGCTGTTGTCTGGTCTTATTTGAGACCAAATGTTGTTGGACTCAAAGTCTGCAAGAAGGTACAGATATATCTGAATATTGACTGGTCGAGAAGAAAAATAAAATACATGCATACATATGCATGTGTGTATATATTTTGCTGATCCTATGCTCAAGTCAGTATAGTAAGCATAAACTGACTTAAGCAGGGAAGAGTGATTTGTACACACAAGAAAAGCAGTTAACCACCGTGGCCAACTGGAAAAGCAGAATGTTGTACTCTTCCTTGTATATTTTAAAAATGCATTTTGGCATCAGTTTGTTTTCATGAAGCAGGAAAAAATCAACCAGTTTGCACAGAGGCTGACCTTCTGGCTCTATAATACGTAGAGGTGAGTGGGTATATTTCTGATTGCAACTGTGCATGGGGGACCTGGACAGGAAAGCGTACACACAGTTCCTGCATCCATCTCCTGCCATTCTGGACTTCTTCCCCCAATCCTCTCTGGACTCAGTCTTAGCAAAGTCCATGCTTACCTTTATGCCTTGTGATCCTTGGGAGGTCCAGGTCCAGCTGACTTGCAGGCTGCTTCAGACCGGTATTTCCCATTTCAAGACTTTGCCTCTTAAAATAAAAAGGAGAACTTATTTGCAAGAGGAACGCAAAGGTATGCCAGGTATGTATTACTGAGGCGTTAATGAGCAGAGTTAATCAGTACCTTCTCTCTGGCACAAAGTTTCTATATTCTGTGTGGAGTGTTGCTTAAAGCTCCTAGGCCTTGCTCCAGACTTAATACATTTTAGTCTAATACTTCAGTCAGTCAGGATTTTATTATTTTTAGCTCTGTGTCTCTCCATTTAGCCAGTGGTAATAACAAGTAGACAGAAGGATGCAACTGCATGTTTCACTGCCACACTGACACTGCTGCCATGCAGAAGGAAGGACATACTGGAAACTTTCCTACAGTGCAAAGGAACAAATAATTTAAAATGCTGACATCTATCACTGAACTGGAAACAACTTCAGGTCTGTTGTTTTTTTCCTCTACAAAAAGAAAGCTGTTATATGGAATGTGTGAAATACAGGGACACCAAGCAATTTGCTCTCTGGAGGTTACATTAAATTTAGATCCTTTCTTTTTTGTCTGAAGCTCCGTATTAAGAGTGATCTTACGGGATGGAATTACATCCTAACTTTTAAAAATTGTATTGTCGGTTTTCCTCTTTGTGGCTCTGAACCTCTCCTAGGTTCTCCCTGAGAACCTGGAATACAACAGGAGGAATGGTGGTGGGTTGGTCCCATCCACTTGTTAAAGAGAATGTGAGACAGAGAGTAGGAAGTAGCCCAGCTGTGGAAATACGTGATTTTGTGGGCAGTTGCTGGGTACAGTGTATGTGCAATTTAGTTCTTGCGCAGTCAGCTGTCGTGTCACCAGCTGTTTGGACTTTTGTGACCTATATAATCCTTTAAATAGCAAAAATGTTGCAGACAGTACTGTTCTTATTGTTCTCAGCTTATGCTTTAGAAATTATTTCCATCAGCCTCGTCCTTTATCACAAGCACTACAGCTGGAAGGCAAGTTCTGCGGAAATAAATCTACCCCTGCAAAGGAAAATATGTACATTAACACAACAGCCTTGCACTGTGGCTGTGATGGAGGGTCTCATCGTGTATGTTATAGATTCTCTGACCTTTACTGACATTGTGATGGTAGCGGTACGTACGTCATGCTGGGAACAGCACCTACTCTAAGCCGGAGAGGCGCGGGAACCGGGTGTAGCGGGGCGGGCCGGCCCCGCCC